ACTCAGGAATCACTGCTGAGGAGAGGTTGTGAAAAAGAAAAGAGAATGAAGGAGATAATGGTTGGCAAGAGAGGTGGGGGGGACTTGTTAACTTGGGGAGGGGTTGGTAACAGAGAAGCCCAGTATCCAGTGTATTATCCAGACCTCCATCCTGCCCCCTGTGACCTCCCCCAGCGTGAGTCAGGGGTTGGGGGTAGAACCCCTGTGCCCAGGCTGACACATATCTCTTGGTTGCACCCAGACAACACCGTCAGAGGAGCCAGGTGGGCCCCAGATGCTGACCCCCCAGGCTCCGTGTATGGACGGCTTCGAGGAGCCAGGAGCTCGGCAGCGGGCCCTCAGCGCAGTCAGTGTACTCACCAGTGCACTAGAAGGTCAGCACTCCTGGGTCATCCAAACACTGCCCACTCCTGCTCTAGGCACCCTCACCTTTGTCCCAGCCTGAACCAGACATTCCCTCTCTGTCTTGACCTGCCTTGGACAGTTCCACATCTGTCCTAAATCTTTCTGTCCTGTGTAGCCTTATATGAGCCCTGCCTGTTCTTTGTCTTTTCATCTGTTTTAGTTTATTCTTTCCTGGGCACCTCCATGTCTGTGTTTCTTCCAAACACTCGCACATCTGTCTTGGTCTGTCCCAGGCTCTTATCAGTCTTATTCTGTCCTCTCCCAAGCATAGCCATGTCTGTCTAGGACCATTCTGTCCCAAGCATACCAATACCTGGTCCAGCCAGTTCCCAGCCATTCCTCTATATACCTCAGACTACTTCAGGCAGCCCACATCTGTCCCAGCTGGTCCTACCCTACACAAGCTCACATGCCTTCAAGTCTGAACTTGACACCCTTCTTATTCCTTCCCATCTCAGATGTATCCTCAACTTTTCTGGTCTGTCCCAGGCATCACCCTATCTGTCCTGACATGTCCCAGATGTCCACATCTTTTCCTACTTGCTCCTTCTTGAGTGTCTTTATATCTGAACCTACCGGTACTAATTATTGTCCCACCATTTTCAGCCTGTCCTCCCCTGACTGCCTTCACATCCACACGAGACTGCTGTCACAAGTGAGCATGCATTTGTCTTGTCTATTCCCAGTTTTCCCTATATCTGTCTTCATCTCCTGTCCTTTGTGGCTCTATTTTTTCATATGTACACTGTAAAGATCCAGGACACAGGCTATACAATCCCTTGGCCTCCCCTGCCTCACTCACTGTCCTACTGTCATATAGCAGCCCTGTCATCTCCAAGTAAGTCATAAATCTTTCCTGGAATACCACCTTATATATATGACTCACTCAATAAAAAAAAAAAAACTTACTCCCGGGCTGTCCCCTCAGAGCTGGAGGAGTCTCACCGCAAATGTCCACCATGCTGGAACCGCTTTGCCCAGCGCTACCTGATCTGGGAGTGCTGTCCACTATGGCTGTCCATCAAGCAGAAAGTGAAGTTTCTGGTCACGGACCCATTTGCTGACCTCGCCATCACCATGTGCATCGTGCTCAACACACTCTTCATGGCACTGGAACACTACAACATGACAGCTGAATTCGAGTCCATGTTGCAGGTCGGAAACCTGGTAAGGGCCACCTGCAGCTGCACCCAGCTGGCATAGCCTTCATGGGTAAGGGAGAAGAGATGCTGGATGTAAAAGGATCTTTTGAGGATGAGGTTCATTGTTGAGGACATCTCGGAGGAGGGAAGGAATCTCAGGGTGACCTAAGGAGCTAAGAGATGTAGGTTTGGAGCTGGAGGTTGGAGTTAAAGGTTTGTGAAAATGTCCAGAGGCTAGAAAACAAAAGTGAGTTGGGGGTAAACTCACTTCATTATGTGGAGAAGTGTATTTTGCAACTAGTAGATGGAGGAGGGGAGTGGTTAGAGCTTGCAACAGTGAGCATCAGTGCTGGTGGAAAGGGGGAAAGGATGGGTGGATGGTTGGATAGAAGGAGGGAGGGTGGCAGAGAAGGATACAGAGATGGGTATAGTGAGCAAATCACACAGAGCTAGATCCGAATTCTGACTCAGCTCTTACTATGTGACCTCAAGCAAATTAGTTAGTCTCAGGAATTGGCACAATAAATATTTGCTGAATTTAATAAATGCGGAATTAGTATGACAATATCAACCTCGTAGGAAGCTAATGAGGATTGAATAAGATAATGTGTATAATGTGCTTGGCTCAGAGTTTGATAAACAATAAGCACTCAAAATAAATGATAGCTGTGCTATTATTGTTGTTGTTGTTATTAAAGAGACTGTTCCTGGAAGTCAGAATGGCTGGATTTTAATTCTGATCTTTTTTTCTTGACACCAAATCAAGTCCTGCCTCTTGACTATACAGAATGGGGAAACTGAGGCCCATAGGCAGATGGAGTCACAGAAGGGGCAGACTTGGGCATGTAGCCACTGTCTTCTGATTCCTAGGGACAGGGCAACATTGGCTCTGTCCAGATAAACATGCAGTCAGTCCTCTATGGGATCCTAGGGCACAAATGGCAAGAACCCACTGGCCTAAGAAAGGAGCTCCTGGATCATCACTGAGGTTGGGTCGAGGAGGAGGACCTCTGGGCACTCATTCTAAGCTCTGTTATTGCAGACCAGACCCTGTCTCAGGCTAACTGTGGCTGTGGGCACAAAGGGGCCTCCACAGGCAGGTAGGTCTCCCATACTGTGGGGTGTGAGGATGTTTTTCTCTTGTTACTTTCCAGACCCAGGATTCTAGAATGTTCTCTGCAGTGTCTATTCAAAATTTTTCACTAATTTGATTCCATTTATTGTAATTTTACTCTTCTTTCCTTATTCTATATGCAAACAAAAGGGGAAGCTATATCTCAGCCTGTAGGTGCCTCCTGGTACTGTTGGATATGTTGGGTGGTCTTCATGTGGTGTTTCAGTTGATTATGGTTTTACTAGACTGTGAATGTTGAGTTGGATTAAACAGCAAGCTAGGTGTGGTGAAGAGTACTGATGGCTTCACTGGATCCTTAAGATATTGAATTGCAGCTTTGTTAAACTTGTGGTTTAATTATTAACATAGGCAATGTAGCTGGGTTACAGCTATGTTTTGTTATTTGGATAGCTTTATTGCAAGCATGTAAGTTTTGATTTTCTTGCATTTAACATTTTCTATGTGGCTTAAGTCTAAGTAAGCTAAATCGCAAAAGTAAGCATGGGCAAATAATCTTGGTATGGAAATGGTCTTTCTAAAACATGACTTTAAAGACAAAATTTCATTAAGAGATTGATGGATTTGACATTTTAGCCCATCACAAACAAAGATATAAGGCAAGTGAAACTTTTGTTTCTAGGAACAGTATGGACAAGAAAACCAGAAAAGTCTATTCTGAAACAATTACAAATATGGCAAACATTCTTTTGAAATGCCTAAGCACATGCGAAAGTACTGTAGTCCCCCTTCTATGCAGTTTCACTTTCTATAGTTTCAGTTACCTACAGTTAGTCATGGTCCAAAAATATTAAATGGAAAATTCCAAGAGTAAACAATTCAGAAGTTTTAAGAAGCAGGCCATTCCAAGTATCATGATGAAATCTCATATCATCCTGCTCTATCCCACCCAGGGACATGAATTATCCTTTTGTCCAGCTTATACAAATTGTACATGCCACCCACCCATTAGTCACTTAACTACCCACCTCTGTTATCAGATTGATTATCATGGTATTGCAGTGCTTATGGACACAAAGGGCCCCAAAATGTAAGAGTAGGGATGCTGGCAATTCATATATGCCAAAGAGAAGCTAGAAACATACCAAAGAGAAGTTGTTAATCTCTATCATGCCTAATTTATAAACCAAACTTTATCATAGCTATGTCTATATGGAGAAAAGTATGATATATACAGGGTTTGGTGCTCTCCATGGTTTCAGACATTCACGGAAGGTGTTGAAATGTATTCCCCATGGATAAGGGAGAACTACTGTAACAGCATCCCCAAGTGCCAAAAACAAAGAGGGGCTTAAAAACCACAGCAGTAAACATGTAAAATGTTTTTTGTAGTTGCCCTGGATGGGGTGGGGAGCTACTGATTTATATAATCTGGAGGTTTGGGTATTCTGTGCACATAGAGATAAGATACTTAGTCTTGGAACAGTGTGAGTCGAGGTTGGCATTGAGTAGCCCCGTAAGACTACAACCATACATCTAGTAAGAAGGCAAACACAAAAAACCTACACACTGATACTTGGAGATGATAAAGAAGCCTTGTCTTAGCCAGGGCTGGAAAGAAAACAAAAGTAATTCCTGGAAGCTTGCAACTGTGAATTTGGCCTTGTACAGACTTGGGATTCAGGTTTACATCTGAGTGGTACTAAAGCCTGACCTAAAAAGGAAAGATGTACAGTGGTTCTAGGATAATATCTTGGAAACTTTAAAAGAGGTAAACATAAAACGTCTCTAGAAGGATATACCTTTAACCCAGGCCAAGCTGAATTTTCCAAATTACAAAAAAAACAAGGAAATATTTCACCATGAGCAAGAGTCAGAACACACACACGTGCACATATAATCAGACTTACCCCTTAAAATGTCACATAGTAGAAATGTTGGATAGAGATAATAAAGTAAAAGTATAGTAACAAGAGACAAGAAAATAAGCTGGGTAGAGTGGCTCATGCCTTGTAATCCTAGTACTTTGGGAGGCCAAGGCAGGAGGATTGCTTAAAGCCAGGAGTTCAAGATTAAAAACATAAAAAAAGAGGTTCAAAGGAGTAGAGTACCAGCCCCATATACTGGAGGTGGAGGATTCAAACCCAGCCCCAGCCAAAAACTGCAAAATAATAAGAATAACATGAGAAAAGAATAAGACAATATTGAAAAAGAGGCAAATAAAATCTGTAGAAATGAAAAATATAGCCATTGAGAGTAAAATCTCAAATTATAAATCAAACAGCACATTAATACAGCTGGAGAGATGTATAAATTTCATGTGAAAGGTTATGAAACTAGTGAAAAACACAAAAAGGACTTAAGTGGAGAGATATGCCATTTTCATGACTGAAAGTCTGAATATCGTAGAGATACCAATTCTTCCCAAATTAACCTATAAATTCGATGTAATTCCAGTGAAAATTTTCAATACTTTTTTTATGGTACTTGACAAGGTAATCCTAAAATTCATATGGAAAAGTAAAGCCTATCAAGATAAATTAAGGAATAAGGTAGAGAATTTACTAAAATATATTGAGATATATTATAAAGCTGAAAACAGTGTAGTATTGGTTTAAAGACAGAAAAATGGATCAGTACTACAGACTTGAAACCCCAGAAATAAAACAATCTATATATTTGGAGATCTGATAAATAACAGACATGGCATTATAAATCAGTAGGAAAGGGATTTATTATTCAATAAATGATGCTGGGGGAAAATGGTCATTATATAGAAGTATTAAATTCAAATCCCTACCTCACATCATAGTCATAAATTAGATGCAGGGGAATTGGGTTCAACACCTAAATGTGATAAAGCAAAACTTAAAAGCTTATAGAATAAATATAGGAGAAAAAAGCTTTAAGATCTCGCAGTTGGGAATGCCTTGAACAATCCAAAAAGTTTATGCTATGAAAGAAAAGATCGCTAAGTTCACTTATGTTAAAATTTATGGTATTTATACAACAAAGGATATTACAAACTAAATGAAATCACTACCACAAACTAGAAACTAATATTATGAAAACTGCTTAATAGAATTTGTGAAATCTAGACAGAATTAACACCTACATATCTGTAACAAAAAGAGGCACAAGTCAGTGATAAAAACATAACCCCAACAAAGGACAAAGAAAATGGCAAGCAGATCACAGAAAGGAGATTTGAATGGTTATAAACAAATGCAGAGAAACACAGAGGAAGGAAATTAAAGCACAATTGAAATACCGTTTCTCACCCATGAGAGAATCAAAAATAAACTTCTATGTGTAGTCAAGGATACACAACAGTAGGAACTCACAGTTTGTAAGAGTGTGGGTTTGGTCCTCCACTTTGGGGGAGTACTGTACCATATCTGGTAAATCACAGTTGTGCATACCCTACAGCTCAACAATTTCAGAGGTACGTGTTATTTAGAAAGCCTCACACATCTGTATAAGGAAACATGTAAAAGAGAGTTCTGTACAGCATCGTTAGTTACAGGGAAAATTGGAATCAACATAAACATCTAAACATCTTTTTAAAATGTGGATACATAAATTGTGGTATATGCATAAAATGAAGTGCTGTACACAAATAGAATGAATATGTACAAATATGTCAATATGGAAAATTTCATAAACATGGTGTTAAGAATAAAAGGAACTTAAAAGAAAACACCTAAAACGTGGCTCAGTGCCTGTGGCTCAAGCAGCTAAGGCGCCAGCCACATACACCTGAGCTGGCGGGTTCGAATCCAGCCTGGGCCTGCCAAACAACAATGATGGCTGCCACCAAAAAATAACTGGGCATTGTGGCGGGTGCCTGTAGTCCCAGCT